AAATTTCCAGACTTTTAGACTCCTGGTACTGATCTTTCATGTTCTCGGTGTCCATGTAAGTCCACAGCTATGTTATACTAGGTGTGACAGTTAACAGCAGAATTGAATTAGAACTTTGGTTGTTGGCTCTCAATCTTATGTTCTTAATTTAAAATAATTACCTATATTATAATTATGCCAGAAACTACATATTGCCTAACTTATTTTGAAATCTTTTACTCTTTATTAACAAAACACTAATTTTACCTGGGCAGCATTGTATCTCATGTTAACTTTTACAGATAATAAGCTAATGATTTTTTATACTCATCAGTTCTCCTCAAATTCACATTTTCAACTTCATTTCTACAATAAAACTTATGTTCACAATTTCCTTTATAGAAAAATGCCTTTAGGGAAGATTTATCTGGGAAATAGAAATGACTGAAATAATAAATATTATCATACATACTTACTGATTAAACATCTATGAAAAGACTATTTTTACAAAAAATTACAGGCATTTTATTTTTCTTACAGTATTATGCCATTAAAAAGTATATACAGAGTCTGCCAAAGAATGTATACAGATTTCATAAGAAGGAAAAACTTGCAGGAATTTTAATAGTAAATTTATTGAGATATGAGATTAACAGACGTTACTTTCTGGCTTCTACAAATATAAGAGGTGCTCAAAGTGGTGGTCACTAGCTTTCAGACATTTATTATTTTTCCTTTCCTGACGTATGTATACATTTTTTGGTGGACTCTATTTTTAAACATATAACATCTCCTGTAGGAAGAGGAAGCAATATTTTATGATTCAATTTTAACTTGTTTATTCTTTGCATCCTTGTTTTTTTGGGGTGAGTAGAATAGACATTCAATACTCTACATATTTTGAACTTCCTTGTTGGGAAAAATTAACTCAATTATAATACATGTGATTAATTTTCTGTAATTCACAAAAATGCTTTCTAGAGTAGATCACCAGTATTTTAAATAAGCAATCTTTGTCATTAACAATTTACTATGACATCTTCATAGACTCCTAAGAAAAACCTGAATAGCTTTTACCTAGGATAATATTGAGATAAACAAAAATAACTTCATTTTGTAATTACCAAAACCCATCTAGTTTCTCTATTATTCTTACAATCAAATAAACAAATAAACAATGAGAAAACATTAGGTTTACCAAGTTTGTTATAATGGAACAAAAGTCTCTCAAAAATCTTATACCCTTTTCAATGGGTTGCAAAAGGTCAAATTAGCTAGCAGAAATTCATTAGAAGCTAGCTGGCAAGTAGACCATGGACTTAGCACTAAAAATGCGTTTTGTTTTAAGTCTATCGTTCCTAAAAGTAAGGTTTTACACTTTCTCTTAAGCCAAAAGACTACAAAATGATTAAAAAGTAAAATTTTTATAGAAGGTGCTGACAACTGGCTGAATCTATAATCTCTCACCATATGTACAGACTAACATAAGTAATAGATTAAGGGTTTTACCTTTTCCATTTTTTAATAACCCTATTCATTTGAAGGAAAGGTTTCTCCTTTTCTTTTTAAAGGTAATAATTAGATTGCTGTCCTTCTCTTAAGGATAACCTTCGTTAGCTTTCAATAAATATGAGCTCTCATAACCATCATCTTATTGTACTATACTCAGTGTTAGCCACTATTTTCATATTAAACTCAGAAATATCTTACATAAAAATGATTAATTTATACAAAATAATCATGATTCTCCATTGCAGATATTACCTTCTTTTTTTTTTTTTTTTGTCTTTTTCCTTTTTATCGGTACCAGGGATTGAACTCACGACTGCCTGCTTGCAAGGCAGGCGCTTATGCCACTGAGTAAATCCCCAGCCCCCAGATATTACCTTCTAGCACAAATTATTATCTCCCAAGTTTAATCTGTTATATATGGAGATTTGGAATGGCACTGATACAATTTTGGAAGTGATGTAAGTAAAATTAGAATTTACACAATTAATAATGGCTTTCTTGCTGCCTTTTTAAAGATATATTGAGAATATATTCTCCATGAAAATGTTTTTAGAATTATTAAGAATACTAACGAATATGTAAATATAGTATTCCATTTGTTTTCAAACACCTAAATGACAGCATATAAAGCTTAGAACATTTGAAATCATTATGTACAATCTCCATGCACTGGAAAAACCAAGAATTCTTAGCTTCACTAAATTATAAGTGTACAGATACTACTTATAAGAGGTAAGAAATGTTTTCCCCATTATATACTTCACAGAAGCAAGTCTGAGGAAATACAAAATAGGCGAGAATGTAAAAAGCAAAACAAAATGAAACTCCATTAAACTACCAACCATTACATTCAGTGCTAACATTTTAAAACACTTCCTGCTGTCTCTTAACATGTAGTTTTGTTTTTTTATGTATGTTTAAAAATCAAACCATAAACATAGACATATTATAAACACATGTAATTATCATTGTATAATAACAGACAGAATCTTTGTGCAAAGTGTGTTCTGGCTCTACAGACTTTAAGCTGATCAAAATTATTTCATATCACAGTTCCTATGACAAGATATATAACCTTTGGTAATTTTTCATAGAAAATTCTTAACCATATACAATTCTAATTTACCACATGATTATAAATATAAATAAATCATACAGTGTAAAGAAATGGATATAACTATACAGTCATACATTTCCAGTGGATTAAAATACTTTGGATTACTCTAACTATTAGGCTCCAAAATTATCCTGCAATGATTCAATTTACTAATTTTTTTAAAGTAAGAGAAATGCTCTCTATCCTGCTAAAATACTGGAAGTCTAACACATTCAGTTTTATTAATTTATCATATTTCATTGACTGGAATTGATTTCAGCAAAACAATATGCATTTGAAAACCACTGATAAAGTGTAATAAAAGTGAATGAACATCAAATATTCTTTTTTTTTTTTTTTTTTTGTCTTTTTCCTTTTTATCGGTACCGGGGATCAAACTCACAACTGCCTGCTTGAAAGGCAGGCACTTATGCCGCTGAGCTAAATCCCCAGCCCCTAACATCAAATATTCTGCTTTGTGTAATTAAGCTTCATAGATTAAGTCTAATCATCACACATACAAAGCTAAAAATCTTTTATTTATTGAATAACAATTATCTTTCCCTTCAGAGCAAGACTCTAATTAATTAATTTATCTTTATTGTTTTGGTATTGGGGATGGAACTCATAACCTTGCAGTTACCAAGTGGATGCTTGTGCTGCTGAGCTAAATCCAGCCCAACTCTATTTAATTTAAAAACACAAAGATATATTTGACATATATAATGCAAATAAGGATCTAACAACAAAATGAAGATTAAAAGTATGAGTTTATATAAAATTATTGTCTCCTAATATGTTTTGGTACTGAAAAAAACTGATCTAGGAAGATATAAAATATATAAAGTAGCAATGCAGTTCACTAAAATGTTAATAATCCGTCTGGGACAGATTTAGTCTTAATACCAATTTCTTTTAAGTTTAGAAAAAAGAAAATCATAAAAATTCCAAGTTGTTGTAAAGAAATTAAATCTCAAATATATTTTGGTATTTTAGAACTACCAGTAAACCGATGAGTATGTCTGGACATAACTTGTTTCTTAAAATGTCCTGGACAATAATAGAAAACACTTTTCATAAACACTTTTCAGTTACATCTCTGATTTGTGAGGCTATGTAACCTTGAAAAATTCCTTAATTTTTTTATCTCTAAAAATAGAAATCTTTAAAAATAGGAAAGGCCTCCTCTACTTCTACCACTATAAAATTAGAGGATAAGACAGAAAAGCCTGCCTACTATGAAAAATATATTAATTGCCAGAAAACCTGTGCTAAAGGGTAAAAAAGATCAATCAAGAAAATAAATATCAATTTCAGTTGGTGCAGTATTTTAAACTTTTTGAGATATTTTCATGCATATGATTGCACCTTAACTTTACCATAATTCTATTAGCCAGACGTATAATTATTATCGTCTATTTGGCAGATGAACAAATTGAATAAAAAAATGGAATGTTACTTTATTATTTAGAATCACAAAACCACAAAATAGATTTAACAAGAATCTAGGCCTAATAGATCATTCACCACTCCTTAAACTAAGACCTTGTTTTATAAGATCTAATAAAAGTAAAGGGAGTAATAATCATTTGCAGCTCAGTACAAGGAACAAAGGGAAAACATTAAAAGGAAGGCACAAGAAAAGCAGAAAGGTTCTTTTGATGACTAAGGAGGTTGTGTACTTAGCCTACAAATTCAAAGGGTGCTGTTTGATCAGAAATACATATGATTAATTTAAAAGAGAAGCTTCATTCTCATCTAATTTTTGCGGGGGAAAGGGGAAGACAAAGATCTCAATCTGTAGTTCACAGACTTGCTTTGAATTCACCATGTGTCCAAAGCTGGCCTCAAGTGTACTGCAGTCTTCTTGCCTCAGCCTCCTGAGTGCTGGCATCACAGGTGTGTGCCACTATGTCTGGCTCATGATCTAATTTTAAGAACACTTACCTTTCAAATTATAAATCTTATGAAATACATCATATAACATGTCAGAATCAGATGGATAAGATCCTCCCAAAAATCTAAAGCATGTTTTTGCTCTTTTGGACTGATTTATAACATTTTTTAAAATTCAAATTAATTTTTAAAAAATTGTTTTACCTTTCAGAGAATTCACATTTCCCATTATATTTCACATTAGCATGCAAATACTTTTTATATCTATAAAAACTGTAAAATTATGAATTGAATTAATGTACAGGAAAAAGTTAAATTATGAAAAAGATGTATTTATGTCAAAGCTCCTTGTTACTATAACAGTAAATTGAGGTCTTAGTGATTACCACAGTTGTATGTACAGCTACCCGAATTAACTAAAAAAAATGCAATGCTCCAGATTGTTGCTAAATTTACTTCATTTAGGTTATGGAACTACTTTTTGGTTCAAAGACTATACTTTTTAAAAAGTGGATACCTGCGGTCCATCTCTGGCTTCATAGAAGTCACCCACTCTTATTTTTGCACTGAAGCTGAAATTGTCCCTTGAGATATCCATTATTCCATTTCTGCTGAGATACTGAAAAAATCACATATTTTTCCACTTCAGGTTTTAATAATTACAACCCAGCTTTGATTTATAGCTAGCTTTGGGACACTAATGTTTTGCATATTCTATCAAAGGGTTATGAATTTATTAGAGATCAATTTAGATTAAGTACAATAGACCCATACGACAGACTATTTTGTATCAAGGAACTTTATCTGAGAAAGGAATACAGTTTTTCTTTACATAAGAATGCTTAATGTGCACCATTGTGTTATTTGGTGAAAAGTATGTACCTTTATTACTTCAGGGTACTGTCTAAGTTTCTTTCCACATGGAGCATAATATGCTACTTCTCCTTGAAGGCGCCCTCCAAAGTTTCTTATTCTTGTCTCTCTCTGCCAGCTATGTAACAGAAATGAAGGTTATGACATACTTAATGTTAAGAAAGTTTTTAAAAATTAAAAAATATCTGGTATATATGCTCTTCACATAAATAACAAAGAAAACAAAAATAAACTTGTAATTATATAACTCCAAAACATTTACTACTGTAACTCCTTAGTTTTTTACTTAGTAATTCAACTAAAAAAGTAATCAAATGCTCAATTTAAAAAAGTTAAAGTCTATTCAATGTTTTAAAAATCGTAATTGGAAATACTTTAAACACTTAAGACATTTTAGTAGCTATGTCAATGTACATGGATTTTTTTTTTTTTTTTTTAGACACTGCCTTGCCTTGCTTTGTTGGCCAGGCCAGCCTTGAACTCATGATTTTCCTGCATCAAGTTGAAAAATGCTGGGTATAATAATGGGCAGGTGCTACCATGCCCAGTTTGTATATGAAGTTTCTAGATCTAAAGAGTTCATATGAGAAGAGTATAATAAACCTGATTCTCTGCCTTTTGGGGCTTGAGTATGTCCAATCTGAAAAGTGTCAGTTCTTGTTAGACTATTTAACCCAAATTCAGTTGGAGTTCCTTACTTTTGATCAAAATGGCTTTGATTTTTGTCATTTTATCTTCACAAAAACTTTTTAGTCATCCTAACTGTATTCTTGCTCTTTGCCATATGACTTGCTCTCAGATGTTTTTAGGCATGTCCTCACTTGCTGCATGAATCCATCCCAGTGCCGCCACATTTCCATGAGGCAACAGGCTTAATTATAGTTTTCTGATTTATCATCTTTTTGCTCTTTGGTTCTTCTGGTCAAATTAATACTGTGCAATATGTTCTTTTCTTTTATTAGAAGTGGACAATAAGAAGTACACATCAAATATGCAAAAGTAAAAAAAAAACTTATTTTGCATACCCATATTCCAAAGGAATACGCAGTTCACGTTCATCTGTTACTCTTCTTCTTTTGGAAGTGCCTTTAAGAAAATTCAACCAGTTAATATAAAAGATTAATTTATAAGGATGAAGGTTTTCTGATAGCTTAGAAAATTTTAAAATATATTTTAATGACTTGGAATGTTAGTACATTTGTTAAATTTATACATTATTTTTAGGTGGTTTTTCAATAACACACACTGTATAAGGCAGAGAATTTTTTTTTCCTTTTAGTCTAAATGATAGAATCACTAGTATGTCTCTCTAAGAAAATACAATCCAAACTAAAGTGTACATATTTTTCTCTGATTTTGGTATTAAATGAATAACCAAAGAAGTAGAAGAAAAATAGTAGACAGAGATAGTAGAAAACCTAACTAGAGTTGTTTTCTTTGAAAATCTGAGCTTTCAGGTTTTAAGAAATTTCAACAGAAGGGTCATATTTAAGACATTTTAGTTTCTATATATATCTATGGTTTGTATACATATCTATGGTTCAAAACACTGCTAGGTCTTTTACTGATCTAAGTCATATAAGCAAGATTAAGAGTATATGTAATTTTTGTAAGACAAATATTGTCTTATGAACACATATAAATTCATTTTAAATTAGTAAGGTATCAAAGTCTGTGGTAAATATAAGAAAAACTAGAAATTGACAAGAAGAAAGTAAAATAATAAAATATTTTACTGGGCATACTTTTATTTCCTAAATTACTGAATAGGATACATAGGATAGTTTTGGAATGTTAAATATATAAACTCTTAATAAAGAACTCCAGAAGCTTATAAAAAGTCAAATAGGAAAAACGAAGACATGGCCTGGTAAAGGAATAAGAATATTACTTTTTAATAGAAATGATATTGACTATATTGTCTACATGTTGGGTAGATATGTGACTGCCCAAAGAACCTTTTACAAAGTACAAAAAAGCCAATTATCAACAGAATGTATACATTAAAAGCAGAAAATGAGCATGCAAGCAGGAAAGGATTAAAAAATCAAGAGTGATCATCAATCAGGTTTTTTGTTTTGTTTTGAGATAGGATCTCCTATGTAGTCCAGGCTGGCCTTGAACTTAACTTGTTATATGACCCAGGCTGGCCTCAAACTCATGATCCTCCTCCCTTAACCTCCCAAGTGCTGGGATTACAGGCATGTGCCACTATGCCTGACATCAATCAGATTCTTAAATTGAAAGCACAGAAAAATTTTAAAGAGATCAGGAAATGGGCCATATCCTTTGAAAATACATGTTAACCTCTCATAGCCAATCTAAAATTTACCTATAATTCTTATTTGCAATGAGAGCATCTCCAGGACACAATATAAATTCTCATTATGGTTTGACTTGTACTTTATAATGATAAAAATAAATGTAGGTACCAGAGTGTGGACTGGAAGTAAGTGTGGAAGAAGATGTGCCAAGAAAAGCAGGTGACTGAGATTCAGAACATAAGGCAGCAGGAGCAGAGCCTGGGGCTTTTCCTATGTGGATGTTACGAGGTGTTGAGTGAGCTGTAAGACTGATGGAAGGGCTCTTGACAGAGGAAGTAGTTTTATTCAGTTTTATTGAAGTTTTCTCTCCTTCAGTATCACTATCTGATTCATCTTGGTCTTTATCATCATCATCTTCTTCTTCTGATCCTTCTGTATCTGATTCTGAATTACTATCTGATTCTGAGAAGTAAAAGAAGCACTTGTATATTACAAATAGATAATAACAAATATTTGCATGTTGTATCTAAGCAGAATATTTAGGAACCAGAATCTGTCATCAGGAATTTAAACAAGCAATTTCCTCAGAATAAAAGTAAAAAAAAATTATCTTGCAAGTCATATGAGTACAATGGTATATAGGCTGTAAATCTTCAAAACTCTTAGAATTAGGTTTTGTAAATACTTTAATCTTCAAATAGTTCTCACATGGTATTCAGATAAGTTCTACTTTGTGGTTTCAAACCACTTTTAATGTAACAGAGAAATTTAAGTAAAAGAGTGAATACCACTGACTGTTCAAATTAACAGATTCCAAAGGATTGAGAAGCATAATAAGTCTAGTGTGAGAAAGAAATTTTTGGAATACTATCATCTTTTTATTTGAAATTTGGAGTAAAAGAAAACTCTCTAGGGCATATTCTTTTTTTTAACCTTAGGCATAAGACATCATTAGGTTTTTTAGGCTTATGGAAATAATTATGTTAGAATAAGGTAAGTTCAACAACTTTGTCTCATTAATGTATTTCTATGTACAACACATTCACTCTATATATGAAAAATCTGTTACTAAATTAAACTTGGTAAGCATAAGACTAAAATGTGGGCTGTTTCATAAAGATCACCAGAACAACTACACAGCAACATCTGGGAATTCTATTTGTTGTGGTACTATCTGCCTATACTCAGGTTCACTGTACAAGTCAGTTTCTAAAAGCAATAAATACAGATTTATTTATTAACTGTCATGCATAAAATTGAAGATAGTATCAGAAAGAATTGTTCTTACACTGAGAAATACTTTCTTTTTAACTTATAGACACTTTGAGTTGTATAAGTAATTATACTTTTCTATTTACATTGGCTACTAGAAAATTTAGCAAATTTTCCAGGTAAATTTCTGGCTGACTAGTAAATCACAAATCTATGAGTTTTTATAATATGTAGTTGTATTACACATTTTCAAAAGCAATATCCCCAAGTCAAAAAAAGTAGAAAATGAATCAAAATCTAATCAGGGAATTACTCCATAATCCCATGTTATTTAACAAAGTCTGACTGTTCATGGGCTTTAGGTTTTTGGTACTTTCTGATTGACTGTGGTTAAAATTTTATCTATGTTTAAAATATCTGATGACAACTTAACAAGTAGCAGAAGAGATGAAAACTGGGAAAAATAAGTGGTTCGGAATGAAATGAAAACTAACAAATTGATGAAATTTTACAATTCAAGAATTGTTTATATCCACATTAAAGTTATTTATTATATGTTCAATATCAGATAACTAACAAGCTGAGAATTTAACTTAGAATTTCCAGGGCCCCCTACTCATATATGTTATCAGTTCTTATAGAAATGCAGAGATACATAAAACAATGAATGACAGTGATTTTAAGTATTTGAGTTAAGTTCTTTAAAATGTTTTGGTTCACACAGCATTTAGAGTAATACTTTAAAATTTAAAATAGAAAATAACCTGATTGACTGTCATCAGATTCATCATCTTCATCATCATCTTCATCTTCTTCCTCCTCATCTTCCTCTTCATCCTCATTTGAATCTTCAGAATCTTTACTACTGGGAATGTCTGAATCTGTTCCTCTAAATTGTTCCACCAAAGGTTGTACAGGATGGGAGTGATGCTGTGTTTTTAATGTGTTTACATTATTGCTAACTGCTTTTTCTTTCCCTTGACTATGCAGTATGGGAGAGGCCGAGGGCAGCACAGGTGTCTGGCTGCCAGGGGTTCTTCTCCCACTTGTACTCAAATTTACAGGTGAGGAAAAAGGGGTACTACCTGCAGTCACAGCACTTTCATTAATCTGACTCGGTATTTTAGTTTTGGTTGTAAGTGCTAAAGGAGCTTCTTGAATGACACTTTGAATAACTCCATTTGGTTGGTGATTACTTAAAAGTGCGTTTGTCAAAAATGGATTAGGGTGGCTGTTTTCTACTGGTTGTTTTGGATGCGCTGGTGAGACAGAGGTTGCTTTTGAATTTGACAAAGCTGCAATAACCTTCTTTAGGCTCTTAGATGATTCCTGTTTCTTTAACTGTGATGGAAATGCCTGTTTATATTGTTCCTGTTGAAATATAAATTAAAAAACAAAATGTACCATAAAAACAAAGATTATTTTGTTTTCAACATCTAAAAACAGTTGCTCATATACAAAGTGACATCATGACATACAAGTGCTGTAATGTAAGTGGCAGCCATCACCACCTGAACTTTGACTAGACCTAAATTTAATTATTTTTCCTCTCTTTCTTTCTTTCTTTCTCTTTGAGACTACCCCCTCTTTTTACTATTTCTGTCACTATCACAGTAGTCAAAACCTGAAATACTAAAAATATTTTTCTTTTTTTTCAAGTTGGCCGTATCTCCGTATCTTCGGACTTTTCATTAAAATACTGTTCAAATTTAAGCCAAGCCATTATTTCTTTACATTTAACCTCACTATGTGCTATACACAACAATAGTGTTACATTAGATTGGATTTATTTTATCAGCTTATAGTATCACCCAACATTACAAACTCTACCCTTTAACATCCAAATTATTGTATCATGAGCCATTGAAACACATTTCCAGTTGATCTGTACCATTTGTCAAAGTCCAGGAATGTCATATTTTCACAGTCTAAATATTTTGCTAGATATAACCATTTTGTTTGCATGAAATATCCCCCCTTTGTTAAATTTCAAACGGATGAATTATTGTCCATTTTCAAGATTCAGTTGAAGATGCTTATGCTTTCCATATTTATCTTTGCCGGAAGTGTTCTTTAATCTTTAAGCTTCTGTGCCTCCTTATGTCTGTCCTACTACATTTAGTATATTACATAGTAGATTTTTTGGTTATTTTTGAGACAGAGTCCCACTATGCCATTTAGACTGGCCTTGAACTCACTATGGAGCCCAGGCTGACCTCAAACTCGCTGTGATCCTACTGCCTCTGCCTCCTGAGTGCTGGGTGAACAGGCAAGTGCCATCATGCCCGGCTATAAAGTATTTCTAGTAAATTTTAATACACAGTATTTTTAATACATCCCTCAGGTAGAAACACTGCCACCTATAGTATTCACAAAACATTTCTTAGAACTCTGCAGCTGTTATATATTAGGAGAAAAAATTCTAGATTGCTAAATAGATGATTTCTTGAGGAAAAGTATCTTTGAAATGATAATTTAATATATTACAAGGGGTGAAGATATGCATTTGCATAGCATATAAGAGGCCATGAATTTAAACCCCTGCAAAAGAAAGAAAGAAAGAAAGAAAGAAAGAAAGAAAGAAAGACAAAGAAAACAAAGATTAAACTGGTGGGATGATTGCTCAATATTCTTGGAACTTACTTTAGAGTGCCTTTAGCACAATGAAATTTTTTTTTTTTTTTTTGTCTTTTTCGTTTTTATCGGTACCAAGGATCGAACTCACGACTGCCTGCTTGCAAGGCAGGTGCTTATGCCGCTGAGCTAAATCCCCAGCCCCTACACAATGAAATTTTAAAGGTGAGCAGTTTAGAAAATAATTTCCTTGAGAAAAATTAATTTGTAAACCAATAAACAATAAAATGTACATTTTTAAGAAACAAAAATGTAGGTATTAGAATATCCTTGGAAACTATAAAGCCAGAGGAATTAAAATTACAAGAATAATTAAAATAACATAAATAAGTAGAATCATTAAAACAAGAAAAATAGTGTTGACTTTCCTAACTTTAAGTAAAATCTGCATTAAAAATGATTGCTTTGAAATTAAAACCAGTAGCTTTTTCAGCATCAAACCTGGGCCCAGAATACTCAAATTAGCAAAGATTTGTGCTGACAATTTTATAAGTACAAATGCAGATGCTATATAAAATTACTTGTTAAGTATTTTAAAACAGCACTACTAAAATGAACAAAGCATTTTCTACATCAACTTCACGTTATTTAACATCTTTACTGTATTAATTTAGAAATTTATTGAGATAATTTTTGTAAACAAACACGGCCACATTCATACCAAAGAAAATACCTTACAAAGAGAAATTGTTGAATTAGTATTCATTTAGTGATTAAAATATGGAAAATTATAGAAAGATCTGGATTTACTTTTTAGAAGGAATTTCACAGCAACTCATATAAAACACTTCTATATATACAAGGTTTATATTTTCAGCAGAAAAAAAATCAGTATACAGTGAGTGGTACCTCAGTTCACAAATTTGTAAACAGTGCAGTTTGTAAACAGAAGCATGTATCAGGTGACAAACATGAACATGGCCATCTTTCCCACACAAACATGCCTATTTTTTAAAAATTGTAGAACAAATTAAGTTCACGGACTAAGGTATCATTGTATTTTTATCCCTTAGTCCTTAATTATTACATAATCATTTTGTACTTCTTTTATAAATATAAGTAGCAAATTTTCCTTCTAAATACATAGACTATAAAAGCTCATAAAAATAAAAACTTTCTACTTGTTTTTTAATTTTCTGCAATGGCTCTGTGCAATAATTTTAAAGAATCTTTTCTCATATATTTGCACCACTGTGTTTTGAAGAATCACAAAAGAGTAGAATATTTTATCCCAAGGCTAGGATCAGTTATTCTATTATGTATTAAATATATTGTCCTTTTTGATATTAGAAGTGTATAAAAAAGAAGAGAGACAATTGAGGCCTGTATAAAGAATAAATCTCTTGCTGCTTTCAGATATCCATTTGGATGGCAGTACTATAGGAAAACATGAGTTGGAAAGTCTGTCTAGCCTCTAAGTGCTTGATCTGTCAACTCCAACATAAATTTCTGGGGATTTGTACGTAAAATGTCTTCACATAAAAGCTGACTGCCATATCTCCAAATTCTTCTCCTGGTCTATATATACAATTCATATATACTGAATTCGATTATGTATGTATCTACAAGTGAAGGTATTGAAGGAGCCAACTGTAAAATAACACTGGACAAAATCATAAACTAATGAGAAAGGCAGATATATATGTAAAAGGTGGCAGGTAAAGTAAGATTATCATAAGAAATTAAATAAAATTCTGAATGTTATACTACTATATCAAGAAGGTTAGCTGTTATAAGAAGTATTTCTTAAAATAGTCTAATATAGTAGATGAGATTACAAGATACAAGATACTAGTAAAGACTAGGTAACATCTTTTTAGCTGAATTTGATTAAAGAAGTCCATTCACATAAAATATTTTCCATTTAATTGTTGTATCAGATAATTTGTATTGTATCTTCTAAATAATTTATAGAGAACATGAATATCAACTTTTTTCACCAGAATGCCTGGTTTAAAATTCTTCTGCCTTTAACTTGTTCCATGATATTAGTGAGTGACAACTTCTGAGCTTAGTATCTTTACCTTACCTTACTTGGTAAATTGAAATAAGATCATATATGCAACAATAGTTATTAAGCAAGTGCCTAATAAATGAATTTCTAATAAATAATCACATAAAATTCTTATTTATAGAAATATTTAAGAAACTGAAAACAATTAGAGAATCCCTTAAATTTAATCCTCAGAGATAAGACTAATGAAAATTAAAATTCAAGCAATGTAATTTTTAATTTGCTTATTTTACTGATAGGAAGTCAACAATGTGACGTTGATAAAACTTCCTTGTATTTGAGCAGTTTGTTATGAGTGATATATGTGACATTCTGATACCACTTGCCCTTCTATTTAGATCACTGGTTCTCAAATCTATCATTTTAGTTATCTCATCAAATGTCTACACATTTTCAAAGCTCCAGGACATTAGTTACAATGTAAGAGATTCTGATTTAATTGACCTCAGAAGTATTTTTCTTAAAAGTTTCCCAGGTGATTTTAATGTATAATTAGATTTGAGAACCACAAATTTTGATTATCAAAAGAGGCTGATCTGTTCAAGTCATAGTTTTTTAAATTCTTCACAGGAAGGGCAAATAGACAAGGACATTATGAATTATTTCAGAAAAGAATCTTATTACAGTTGTTAAAAATTCTAGTACCAAATTACCCTGATTTGAATTCTAACTCCATCACTAACAAGCAGTGTGATCTTGTGTTAAGTTCTACAAACCTCAATTTTCTCATCTGTAAATGGGGTTATATTGATAACACTCACAATATTATTAGCCAGTGAGTAAATGCTTGTCCAGCAGTTAAAACAATGACTAGAAATAGTAAAAGAACTCTAAAGTGTTATCTGATAACTAGTATGCCCAATAATAATGATGAGAATAAAGTAATATTTGTAACTAAAAGACAGGATATTATGTTCAAATATAATATTTTTCCATGCTGGGCTAATTCTACACTAAAAAGCAATGGCTATTTAATTAGTGAATTCTACTGGATATAGCGGTAGTAATTTTAGATCAACAGCAAGGAAAGAAAATTAATTTAAAACTGTACATAACGAAGCTAAATAACAACTCTCTTTCTGGTGCTGGGAATTTGCATATAGTAAGCATGCTCTATCATTCCTTTAGCCTCACTCTTCTTTCTGATAATAAAATTCTTTTTGGGGTACCAGGAATTGAATTCAGAACTTTGCACTTGCCAGGCAGGCACTGAGCTGCTGAGTTACATCCTCATACTAATATTAAATTCTGCTATAAATAATTTTTAACTCACCCGTTTTAATCGCAATTCACTGGTCAAAGAAGTAGATTCTTCAGAGGTATTTTTATTCCCTGCTTTAAGTATATCAGGAGATGGAACTATGAGTTTCATATAAGGTTCCTTTTTGGCTTGATTTACCAAAGATAATGGTTTCACATTGGACACCAATCCCGTAGACTGTATTACACTGGTGTGTTTGTTCACAGATTCCTCCTTTGCCTGAGAGCTTTGGAAAATAAATGGAAGCTGCTGTGATAAAACCTGAGGCTGCTTCTGCTGGGATTGGAATGATGAGTGAGTCTGGGGTTCAGACACAAGAGGTAATGGCTGGTGTATTCTTTTTTCCTGGGTTTTTTCAGTTGCTTTCTGTCCATCTGCTTTTGAATCTGAAATACCATGTAATAGCACCTAGAAATAAATTGTAGAAAACAATTTATTAATATCAATGAAGAGTATCAAGCAATAAATCTTAGATTACAGTTACTTTTAAAGCATTTCTAATGACTTAAGAAAGATACACAGTATAAAGCTAACAAAAAGTATACTAAATGTCCTTTTATGAACATCTTCTGTTCTTTTGTGTGCAACAGGAAGAATTAAGGTGATTAACTTTAAAACTAGAGACTGAGTGTCAAGATAAGACTAGTTAATTTGTAAATATGAATAATAATCACAAAACGATACCTGGTTGTTACTTTTATGTTGTGCTTCACTCTCTGAATCAGAATCATCATCTTCACTTTCTTCAATACTTTGATCCTCTTCCTCTTCATCCTCTTCTAGATCATCTGAGTCACTACTACTGATACCTTCACTTGAGGTGTCTGACGATGTGCCTGAATCACTATCACTGTTGCTAGAACTTTCCACAGCCTTCTTCCTTGGTTTCTAGGTAAAGATATTTGGCAAGGTTTTATTTTTCTTGAAAAAAATCGAACTTCAATAAAGGAGGTATGTTCTTTTAATTTTTAAGTCATATTTTCAAACTTCAAATATCATTTTAGGAAAAAGAAAACAATCATATTATAAGACTAATTATTTAACAAAATGTTCAAATAACTTATCTTACACAAGTCATTAACAAGAAATGTAAGTTCTGTCATATCTATAATAGTGAAATTTTCAATATAGTATATTAGTTCCATTCAAATAACTTGTACACTTCAAAGTGTGTAACCTTAAAAAGAACAGCTCACAAGATTTCTATTTGATTATGATACATACGTTGAAATTATATATATTTAGCTTTAACCTTCTTTTTATGCAGAGATAGTGAAGAGCCAAAAGTTTACTGTAATGTGTCAAACACATCTTTTTAGGTACCTATCTATAACTCTACAAGAAAAGAGTACTTGGTCTTCAGTAACTTTCATTCTACAGGTGATAGTGGGGTGAGGTATACATACATTCAATACATAATATGTTTAACTTGAACAGATCTAATAAGTGCTGTAGAGAAGATGGAATAGGTAGTAAAAGACTTATCAGGCTGCTTTAGTTAACATCAAATAACTTAATGGCTTATAGCAAAAGAGAGAAAAAATAAAAATAGAGAAATACACATTTCTGTAATAATTTAGACCACTAGATAAAGAAAATCCAAAGCTGGCAAAAAGTGATATTAAGTCATATAACAAGGAAGTTTTATATTTAAAGAACAAATACTTGTGGATGAAAAGAGGAAAAATCTTGAAATGATAGAGTAGCAAGATTAAGTTACTTAGGAGCATTTCAATAGCATTTGTTGATAGACAACGAAATAGTAAAGGCAACAATAAATTACAATAGTTTTGGTCTTTACAAAAATATAGCCTTTCTTGACTACTATATAGTGCAGGTGGCCTTGAACTCACTTATGTAGACCTGGTCAGATTCAAACTCACAAGGATCCTTCCTGCCTCAGCCTTCCAAGTACTGAGATTAGAGGTACACACTACCATACCCAGATGAAATCTACACTCTTTTGTGCCTTCTGAAGATTAATTTACCTGAAGGCATATAAGGACAGCTTTTTTTTTTTACTAAGATGGCACTTAGTAAAGTGAAGAAGGAAGTTCCTGCCCTTCCCAAAGATGAAGCCAAAGCAAAAGCTCTGAAGGTCAAGAAGACCACGATGAAAGGCATCCTCAGTCACAAAAAGATCCTCACATCACCCACCGTCTGCTGTCCCGAGACACCGTGGCTCTGGAGGCAGCCCAAATACCCTTAGAAGCACACCCCCAGGAGAAACAAACTTAACCACTATACCATCACCAAATTCCCCCTGACCACGAGTCAGCAATGAAGACAGAGCAACAACACATGGGTGTTGGGAGCCGCAGCCCCGAGCCCGGTCGCCTCACTTGGCGGACGTGAGGCCTGTAGTAAAGAGTGAGGCCTGAGGTAGATTACCCCTCCCATCGAATATGTTAGTTTCCTGCTTACCGCGTAAACAACCCGCTCAACAATATAGTCTGCCTGGCAACTGATGATGTTAGCCAATCAGCTTGCCTTGCTTACTTTAACATGATTGGACACTGTACCCGTATATATACCGGTGCCACCCCTGGGCGGAAGAAGAAGCCAGATAGAAGCCCGGAAGTAGAAGCCCAAAAGGAGCCGCGGAGAGCGGACCGGTAGAGGCTTTGGGGCAGACTGAAGCACAAAAGGAGCCGCGGGGAGCGGACCAGAGGAGGCTTCAGCTGGGAGAACCCAGGGCAGGCTGTACGGAGAAGGAAAATAAAAAGAAAAGGTTGTCCACTACCAGACTTTGTCGTGTGTCCTTCCTGCCGGCCGGGAGCGGACATCGACACATGGGTGTTCATTGTGGATGTCAAGGCCAACAAGTACCTGATCAAACAAATCCTATGAAGAAGCTCTATGACATCGATGCGGCCAAAGTCAATACCCTAATGAGGCCTGCAGGAGAAAGACGTACATTCAACTGGCTCCTGATTATGATGCTTTGGATGCCGCCAACAAAATTGGGATCATCTGAACTAAGTCCAGCTGGCTAACTCTAAATACACATTTTTTTCTCCATTAAAAAAAATGCATATAAGAAGAGTCACTCCTGCTAGTACATTCTGCTTACAGTAACTCTTTGTTAACTGCTTCTAGGTAGCCTATGCCTCCTTCACAAACACATGCTTCAATAAGCAGATTAACAGTTACTGTCATCTCCTAAGGTATCTCCTTCCCTTAAATAAGGGAGATGTAAGAAGAGAGTAATGTGAGAATTAATGACAAAGTTAGTAAAGTAGTGAATAAAGGAAAATAACACATTAATGTTAAGCCTACCATTTATTTGGCAGAAAAACAGCTCCTTCTTTGTAATCCATATCTGTCATGGATTACTTTGCATAACTTTTCACTTTTGGTTTAAAAGGGGCTAGGAAAAGAAAGGAATGAGGAAACTACAGTGATTTAGCAGAGAAAAACAAACTATTTAGTGGCCAAGTAATGTATTTATAATTATAAATCAGATTCCTGGATCCCACTTCTAAATAAGACACAGGGATTACTTTTGATAAGCAATGTGATTCCAATGCACACAGTCACTGCAAAACACATTTTTATTGCATGCAAAGGAACACTATATAATGGAGGAGACAAGTTTGCATATTAGAGAAAAAGAGGAAAAATGGCTGAGGACATTACCAATTTATTTCCTTAGTCCTTATGAAAGAGAAATAGGTCATCAAAATTATCTGAAGAACAATTTTTCAAACTATGCCTGAAGAGAGCAAATTAAGCAGTTTTAAATAGCTTTTAATACTGAAAAATACTAGGTCAAAAAATTGTAAGATATTTTTTCTGTAGTTCCAATATCTTTCATCTCTATTTTACTTAAAGAATCCATTACCACAAACATGTAGAATCATCCAAAATTACTTACTATGTCAAATCTTAAATTCTAGTATGTCTCATTTTAAAAGTCAGTTTCTCTACAGTATTACTTGCACTTAGTTTCTACAAACATCATTATGGTACTTTGGAACCCATGACATTATACGATTAAACAAGGGCCTCTCTAAGTCCTAATACATGTTTCCGGTAATAGTTGATTTACCAGTACTAATTTTATTTAGTAATGTTAATGCAGGTTCCTCATTAGAACTAAAGACAAGGATTGTTTCATATTCATGTCTGGAAGTCTTGCACAACTCCTTTAATTTGTGGAAGCAGAGAATGTTTTAGATTTTAGATTTTATTAGTTTCTAACACTACTTCCAAGAAATACGATAGTGAGAAGTTTAAATGTGTGGCATTTAATTTTAGAAATACACATAAGGCCTGGAGATGTAGTTCAGTGTAGAGTACCTACTTAGTATGTGTGAGACCCTGGGTTCAATTTCTAGTAATACAAAACAAACAAACAAATAAAATATATAAAGTAATATGATGCCTGAAATTTGCCTCAAAACAATGTGGGTCTCAAGAACAGGTGATACTTCATTCAGTGAAATTAGTATCAAAGCAATAAATTGATAATCTGTATAGTGGAAGACAAACAGGTGAAAAATTGGTCAGTATGTGCTAACTATCGAGTCAGCATAAACAGGCACACAGAATTAGTCTGTCTGCTTTGAATTTTTAAAATTTTTCCGGGGGTGTGGTGTGTTCCTATTTTTGTTTTTCTTCCTACGTATAGGTTCTGTAGTCAACTTGCTTCACCTCAAGTCCTTGTTCAGCTATTTATTAGCTAATTATTTTGGTGCTCTGTTCTCCTTTCTGTAATAATAATGACTACCTCATTTTAGATATACAAAACACTGAAATAGCTGTTATTTACATACAAAGCAATTAGAGCACAGGTTGTATGTAGGAAGTTCTCAATAAACTTTAGCTATTAGGGCTGGAAGTGGTAAAGTTCAATCATCAACATATATACAAAAAATGTTCTACTATTACTACTGTTGATATTATTTATTCTAGTACAGATGGCATTAATATTTTAAGATACATAAAATACTAATATTATACCATAAAAACACACATCTGTGAAAATAAGATTTTGTAATGCACAGGAAATGAATCTGCAAATTCTGGTAGTTTGGGTTTTCATGTATTTTTAGATATTTGAGATACTAGAGATTGAACTGATGAGTTTTGTACTGAGCTACATCCTCAGCCCTTTTTATTTTTGTGTTTTTAGTTAAGGTCTCACTGAAGTTGCTAAGCTGCTCAGGCTGGGCTTGAACTAGGGATCTCTCTCCCTCAGCCTTTCAGTGTCAAGACTGCAGGTGTGCATCACTACACTCAGCTAGATTCTGGTGACTTGACATTAAAAAGTATATGTATGTATCCTTTAAAGGATAACTTACCTTATCTTTGTTTTTGTCAGCTCTACAATCCAAAGGTTGGTTTTTGCTTTGTTCCTGATTACATTTTCGATTTCCTCCACTTGAGCTTGTACTTTTAGTCTGTCCCATGGAATTTGAAGCAGTAGTGGACAGTACCGATGTGTTGGCACCAATTACAGATGATGTGCTGTTTCCATTAATTGATCCATTTACACCTTGAAAATAAAAAGAAAAAATTTAATAGACTGTTATATAGTCACGAAAAGTAATGAAGTACTAATAAATGTATAATATGAATAAAACTCAGAAATATTTTCAGAGAAAGAAGCCAGATCCCAATGGTCACTCTCATATAATTCCATATATATGAAAAATTCACAATAGATACATGCTCAGAGACAGCATAAGCTTGTAGTTCACAGGATTTGGGGGAAGAGGAGGCAGAGAACAGCTGTTGAATATGTATGAGATTTCCTTTTGGAGTGATGAAATATTTTGAAACAAAGCAGATGTGGTAGCTGCACAACATGGATTGAATTTTTCACTTTAAAATGGCTAATATTATGTGAATCATACTTCAATTTAAAAACAGTTAAATGCTAATACTTAACTTATTCAAGTAAAATACTTAACTTATTCAAGTAAAAATGTTATTTAAAATGCCATTATAATTTCAAATGAGATTCCAATAGTTATCAATTGCTAAAATATTAATGATCAATATCAGTTTAAATGAAGTTAATGTTTGGCTGCAGAAACAACATAGTGGATTGACTGGAGAGGTGATAAGACACATAAGAAAAGCAGTGAAATTGGTTTTAAGTCCTGATCAAACACATGAAATGCAATCATTATTTTCCTGAACAACTATTTAACCTTGCCTGAAAAATAAGGATGTTTTCAGTATCAAAGAATCATTATAAGAATGAAGCAAGATGATGCTAAAGTTTCTAACACAAAGCTATAAAATTGTTACAAAATCTGTACTCTACTGAAAATAGGTATTGGAATGAAAGACTTACAATATTTTACTTATGCTAATATGGGTACCTTTTTCAGGACCATTTCGATTACTTTTTCCTGAAGTCCTTGAAGTGAATGAAGAAGAATCATGATTCTGGGGCGGAGGAGCAAACAATGGTGGAATTCCCAGTAACGGTGGAAAGAAGGGTGCTCCAGTACGAGTATGAGCATCTGCTGTTCGCCACCATTCTGCACCTCAAAACCAAACCAACCAAATAATAACATTTCAATTAACTTTTTGGTTAATATAACAACTGATTTCTGTATTTCATTCCTGAAAAAAATTTCAAGTTTCTAGCTGGAATATAATGCTTAGTTCATATAGTTGTGATCATCTTTTTAACAATAAACAGCTAATTAGAAGTTTTACACTCATCACTCTTCTCATGAGGCTGGTAGTGAAAGATCTTCACCTAGCAATTTTCTAGATTCAGGCTAAAAACAACCAAGGTACTTTGTAGCTTTAAAAATAAAACTGAAAACTTGGAGTATTAAAGAATTATTTAACTCTTAGATAACTTTTAACAAACTTTTTCTAAATTAGTAAAAAAAAAATTTAAGTCTATATTAGTCTATTTTAAAACCTTAGAATTTAAGCTTAATGTATGTTAAGAATTTCTTTAAATTATAGAGAGTATGAATCTGGTTCTGATAAATCAGGTAGTCTAATATTATCAGACTATGATAATCCAGTATACCTCAAATATATTTATAAAAGAAAATATTCTATAGAAGGACAACACTATGGATAAATATAGCAAAATCAATAATTTTGTCTAAGAAATTGTCAAGATTTTAAGAACAATTTTGCACTAAAATATAAATTATAAAACTTATGTCCTAGGGGTTAATGAGAACACCTTGCATTTTGTTTATGCTCCTGCTCATAAATTATAGGTGGCAATGACTGTTTAATCAACATAAAGTAACTAAGTGGTAGAAAGTTGTGGAATGTAATATAGATATTCAAACAGTAGCTCTGAGTTTAAACTTTTTAGGTTAGAAAGCCAAATTTTATACAATATATTTTTAAAGGAAAGGTGAGGATTAAGAAGAGATTTGAAAGGAGAGTCTTGTATTGCCCTATGAAATCTCAGAAATAATCTTCAATTCACTAATTCATTAGATTACAAAATCAGTTATTACAGTATTTTTAGGCTGATCATCTACATAACATATATTTCTATTTGATCATAACAGTCACAAGAAAATCAGATTTAAAAAATACAGCATGTGAAAACTCAATGTTATCACTGTATTATGTCACATTAAATTTTTTTCTAGGAATATCTCTTCAATTAGACACAATGTAAAGTTATGAGCCCTTTTATCATCTAACAGTGAAATCTGGTTTTTAAGAAAGTGAAATCTTCATGGTAGCTCATGGTCTAAAAAAAATAGTATAAGCAGAAACTACAAATGTTATCCTGGATTGCAGGGAGGTATTGTAAGTGAAATGACATATATATATATATATATATCATACGCCTGAATGGAGGGAACTGAACCAAGAATAGCTATATAAAAACATTAATCGTTCACCCTTAAAGAACTTAAAAGAACTGTATTTTGATAGGCAGAATGGGTGTACATTTTGGGCTTGTCTCAGCATTATAGGTTCCTATTGTTATTTGTGAGTTTGAAAACCAGCTTCTATCTATCTGATAAAAAGGGACAGAGGTTTCCTAAAGATAATCATATTAATACAATCCGACTAAAGTTTTAGAGATAATTGTATAAATTTTATATCAACAATTTGTTAAGATAACCAAAAATAGTGATTCAAGTATTTTAGAAATAAACTAAAAAAACTATGATAATTTTCTTCAGAATATCAATGGTAAATAAATTCACGATATGAACTAGAGAAAATAATAGGGAAATATGTGTTATAAATGAGGTGATGCTAAGGAAAATGCGGGTAAATAAGATCAATTAAATAAAAAGATGAAAATAGTGACCTTCCCATTTAAACTTTGTAAATATCTAATACTATTTTGTAGGAAATAATATAATTTTTCTGAGTGCGAGTTTACTTACCTTCCAAATTTATGAAAATAAAAAAATTTAGTTGCTTACTAGTTTACTGATAAAATGAAAAATACAAAAAGATTACATAATTAAGCACATGATGAATATCTAAGAGTATTCAAAAGAGGCAACACCATAATAGCAATGTTAAACATTTTTAATGGAAGGTTTTGTAATATTCCAAGGAATATAATGAATCTCAATTTGAATATAAAACATTCAGCAGAATTTTGAAACTAAAAGGGCCAGATACTTCATAAATGTTGGTTTTTAAAGTTAAGATATAATAATCAAAATTACAAGTATTTTAAAAGAAATTATCAGAAGATACTCTTTTAACATTAAACAAAAATTATTTTATTATACTAATTTCCATGAAATAATATTTGTTGATTTAAACTGGAAAAAATACTATACAACTATTTATTGACTGATTGATTGATTGAATGATCTTTTTTGAGACAAAGTATTGCTATGTAGCCCACTAGCCTCCAAATCACAATCCTCTTGCCTCCCAGAGTGGTGGGATTACAAGCAGGTACCACATTATGATCAGCCAATAAAATTTTAAATTATTTGTCCTTTAAAATACCTAGTATGTATTCATTGTGTCTTTCTTAGATTTATTTGTGGGTTGATTTTGAAAATTTAGCAACTTGATTATCTTATACAGGATTGATATTTTAAGTTATGTCAAATCTAAAATATGACATGAATTTTTTGCAAGGCAAAATCTGCCAATCTGGTAAAGATATATGCTCATACAGGCACATTCTTATCACTACAAACTGTCTTGCAATTATCTGTTTATCCATTCCTGAAAACTACAAACAACATAAACTATATTGACACATTCTTCACTAACTGGCTTTCTACCCAGAATATGATAGATATGAGTGAATAGTTAATGTAACCTAAGGAAGTTATTAAAATTTTTTATACAGTACAAGAGTAACATTATCAAAATCCAGATGAGTAGCTTTTTATATGTCTAATTACAGAATAAAAGGTGTTTAACTTTAAAATACAGTAACTGTATTGCAGTTTAGAATTGTTCAAAGTATTATAATAAATCATGTTAAAACAATAGAAATATTTAAAATATCATAAATATATATATTATTCAGCAATCTTCTATTCCATGAAATTATATGTTCAGTGTTTATCTTGCTAAGCAATCATACTAGCAAGGGAGTAAGTTCCTGTTAATATTTAGAGGCAATGTTAATTCTTAAGTTTAAGATATCATCTGTCTACATATATTACTCCTCTCCATCTTCCTTTTTTTCCAGACAACTATGTTAAAACTATAACTCAAGAACTTGAAATACACATCATTGAATCATCTATCTTTTCTACATGTAATTTAAACAAGACAGTTGTTTCTTTTTAAACACTTGAGACTTTATGAAACATTAAAGAGGGCAAAAGTAAATAATGACAGTTACCAATAATGAAATAATTATTAAATAATTTAAAAATTAAATAATTTTTATTAGATAAAAATTATCTAATACTATAGACAGCACTGAACATGATTATGTTCTTTAATCTTTATGAAAATCCTATAAAGTATTATTATTTTTCTCATTTTACAGGTAAGAAAACTCTGGGTGGAGAGGTCACATAAGATGTCCAAGGCAACAGAACTATGAAGCAGCAAACCCAGATTAAAATTCAAATCTACTAGGTTTTGGGACTATGTACTAATGTTTAAACTATTTTACATACAACAAAATATGTATATTTTACTAAAATATATTAAAGTACAATTAATTCCTGAAAAATACATTTAAATTTAGATAATATAACAGAAGAAATGAAAGCATGTTTGTCTAAATTAAACTTTAACCACTGTCTTTATAAATTGCTGCCTCATAATCTGTTGAATTTCACCTAACACTTGGCTCTTTGCCACCTAAGTGGTATCACTCTCTAGTTGGTTGGTTTTTTTTTTTTTTTTTCTTTTGTACAAGGAATGGAACTCATGACCTTGCATTTGCCAAGCAGGCACTTATGCCACTGAGCTAAACCCCCAGCACCTCTCTAGTTGTTTTGACAAAATATGGAAAAATATAGAAATAAAAGCACATTGTTCTTAAAATTTTAAAAACCCAAATAAAATATTCATTATTAGAACTAGATTTTAATTTTACATTATAATTTTAAAAATTATAAGACAGAAAAATTCAAACTATTTAAAATATGGATACCTTTTGTACTATACTTAAACACACCAGAAAAACCTGACATTTATTCATTTCTATGGCAAATCCTATTTATCCATCAAACAATACCTAAGTAACTGCTATACTATCTAACACATGGTATGCCTTATTTTTTTTTGCATGTGATAAACAAGTTTGAGCCAATTCTTGCATAAGACTTTAACATATGAGGCATTGTATTGTTCTCTTTTGTTCAATGTAATAAACAAATTACTGCTTGAATATTTTCAAGCTTTCTTCCTTTTCTGAACACTGTTTTGTAACAGATGTTTACCTGGAAAAGATGCTAGTTGGGGATGTGCGGCTAAGGCTGTGGGTGTACCAAGTGTCCCCAAACCACCAAATTCTGAATGCCCTGAGCTGGCTGAATGTAGACCAAAGACTGGGTGGCTGACCATTGGGAAGGCACTCGACACTGTGGACAGGTTAAACGGTTGATCCCCAGCTGCTCTGAATATATGTCCTGGGAGGGAAAAAAACACACTTAAAGTTGTGCTACAAAAACAGATGAGATTTCTCTGATTTCAGTGTTCATAGTTAAAAATTTTAATAATTTCCTTGGTACGAAATTTTTGTTTTACAATTTTTTTCTGCATTTCTATTCAAGCCCTATAGAATGACGTTTCCAGAAACATCAAAACACTCTAAAATAATGAAAATAAAAGTTATAGCCTTATTTACTTGATTTTGTGAATTGATGTTTTAAGCAAGTAATTTTTATTAATTAAAACTGACCTGAGGAAATAAGGCCAAATTTGTTATTATATGTGTATTAATATAATACCAAATGTGTTCGTTCCTAAAAAGAAAAATATATAGACATTCCAGTAATTTAAGGTTGAAAGCCAATAAAATAAGATCAAAATTTGTTACCCCATCATCATTCAAATTATCAGATACCTTAGGCAATAAGACCCCAGTTTCCATGTATCAGAACTGAAGCTCTCTTCTCTATCTACTATCTTATGGGAGAGAAGAATATCTGGATACCAAAGAAGCAGTATCATCTAGTTGAATAGAACAATACTCAAGACAACATAAACAAATAAATATAGTAAGGTATCTCTAAATGGACTCATAGATGATTATTAATATAAAAATCATTTTTAACCTTTCAGATACTAACGCAATATTCAACTTGAATGAGTGCATTTTCAGTCTCTACTCTAATTTGTAGAGAATCCAGCACTGTCATAATACCAGTTTGGCATATTATATGACTAAAAATATGGCATTCATTTTTCAAACTTTTTTTTAAGGATTGGGGAGAAAATTTTTTTAATGTGTGCAATCTTTCCCTTTATTTCTAGAAAATAATTACAATCTCCTGACCTCCTACTATGAAAACAGAATACCAAATTTCATAATTTAGAGCATTGCAAGAATTCTGTGAAGAGTACTAATGTACTCTATGTTAAAATCAGATTTTTAAAATTATTTTCTGTTTATATCTGCCTGTCTGTACACTGCAATTTAATCATTTTAACATAAAATGTTTGAAGTAAATAAAAAAGTTAAGCTCAAAATGAGTATTTTTTTCTTACTTATCAGACTAACCATTCCTCTTTGTTTTTTGCTCCTCAAAACTAAGGGATAGTTCTAAAAAAACGTAAGAATATACCTTATAGAATGATATAAATCCTTTTTTTAAACACTGAAATAATGCTATATACTTTGGTGAAATAAGAAAACTTAAGAGAACTTTCTTCTTTTGTAGCACTAAGGATGAAACACAGAGCCTAAGAAATGTGAAGTAAGTACTCTACTATTGAGCTATGCCCAACCTGGAAGATTTAAATAACTAATTAAGATTTAAATAAATTATGGTAAAGACATCTTATATCAGCCTATAAAGAAAATGTTCTGAAGGTTAGTATGCCCAATATGTACAGTGAAAACTAGATCTCACAGAAACAATCCTCAAAGTGTCTTCACAAGCCCTGCCCTCAAGAAACTGAGAGAAAACAAGGAAGGTGCATAAGCTTTGTTTTCCTTAAGTCAATCTTTATTTTTGTTCATTAAAACCTAAACAGAAAATTGGGTGAATTTTTTAAAAAACAGAAAGAAAACTGTTGAAGAAAATCACGAAGTCATGCTTTTGTGTTTTCAGAGTTCTGAACTATATTAGTACTGAAGCAGAATTATAAAATAGGGCATTCTCCTGAGAAAAGGGTTACCCAAACATCACTATCACTAAGATTAGTGATAGGACATTAGAAAGATTGTTTTTGTTTTTGTTCTTAGTCAATCCTCAAAAACCCAGAAGTTTCTCTTAAAAATGACCTCATAAAAAACTAGTGTTTCTTTTCATTTGTATTACAAAAAAAAAACCTCTGGTTCTGGACAATTGATTCAGCCTGATACTTATGTACCTTATCAAATATTTTACATATTTATAAACATACTATTGTCAGTAATACAGTATTTCCTTCTCTATTAAGAGTCCTTATAAGCAAAGTGAATTGAATACACAATTAGCTTTGGAGAATTTATAGTCACTTGCCATTTGTCTTACAAAAACTTACTCTCTTTTCCCCTCCATCACAAAATAATGATTCACAAATTATGTTTATAAAATTAGACATGTGTAGCTATGATATAATACAAAGTAATTGGAGGAATAAATTCAAACTTACAAAATATTATAAAAATTCAGAATAACTGAAACTGATAAAAATACTTCTACAACAGGGTAATAAATAGTATTTGTTAGATATATAGTGAAAACATTAATTTCATTATTATGAAGAAACCACTGAGATAACTGTAGACTCTCATGGGCAGAAAATATATAGGCAATATCTAAATGATGGTATCACTCTTGCAGCAACAAAAATAAAAACCAACAGCCGGGCACAGTATCACATGCCCGTAATTCTAGCACCCCAGGAGGCTGAGATAGGAGGATGGCAAGTTTGAGGCCAAACTGGGCAAGTTAGTGACTGAGCGATGCCCTTTATCAAGACATACATACCATACATACATATAAACACAAATAAAGGGCTGGAGATGTAGGTCAGTGTGAAAGGCCTTGATTTAATCCATGGAACCACAAACAAAACAGTAACACATACTTTGATAAGGTATGAAAGGAAGGTGTGGCTCAGTGGTAAGCAGTTCCAATCCCCAGCACCAACCAACCAAACAAGTAAGAAATGTTACTTTCCTAACAAATGTTAGGAAATTTCTTTTTAGGAGCAAAAATATTTGATACCATATTAATGTGCATACATTAACAAAATCATCTTTTAGGTCAATTTTAATTGATACAAATTATTTAGTTAAAACATCATTTCTCAAATCTCAAAATCAAAGTAAGTAAGGTTATATCTTTTGTTTTCATTATTCATTTTTGAGGAATGCCCATTGCTGTTGTCACCAGGCCTAGATGTAATTCTTTACATCTCAGGCATGGGTGTTATTCTATAGTTCTACAGAAGTTTTTTCACTTGAAACTATGATGAATAAAGCTCATTCTTTGCTCAATGAGCATAGATATAATTTTGTGTAGAACTCTATTTAGAATTACATAAATAGATGCCTGGTGATACCACAGAGGTAAGCATTCAAATCAAGGTTATTTTAGAGTGAAGGGAATTTTTTATTAATAGAATAGTAATGGCTCAGTAAGTCCCATAATCACATTTAAAACAAAGCACATTTTCTGAATTAATAAAAAACAGAAAGATATATTTTTAATGAAACGAAATACAACACAAGTCAAACAGGCTCTAACTGTATGACTATAAAACTAAATTATCTGAGTATCACAATATTCTACTTTTTTTTTTTTTTTAAGACAGTCTCACTATGTTGTATAGCTTGGCGTTCAACTCAGTATGTGGTCCTGACTGTCCTCAAACTCGTGGTGATCCTCTTGCCTCAGCCTCCAAAATGCTGAGATTATAGGCTTGTGCCACCACGCCCTGTTAAAATACTCCACTTCCGGAGTAAATTTTTCCTACACTAATATACCTAATGCCAGAAGATGCTCACAAATAAACCTGTCTTGATTAAAAATTATTAAAGTTTTACTTAGAAAAAAAATGGAGAAATTATATCATAAAATGATAGGATCTCAGAATCAGGTATTCCTTTTTAACAGATTAAAATTCCAACATAATTTACATAAAATTTGTAATTTTAAAAGAAAAGCAACAATGTAAATTTTGCATAATAGAAATGTATATACATTTGCAATGTCATTACAATGCACTGCTTTTCCACAGACCTTTTGAAATCTACTATTGGATATTATATGTATTATGAAAACCACTACCCATATATCAGGGGATGAATATACTACATGGAAATTACAAATATTTTTATTAATATTAATGACTACTACAGGTTTTCTCCCTTTATAAGAATAAAATGGCACAAATACTAAACTAATGCTTTAAACCTTAACACCAGCAAGAAAAGTTCCGTATCATTAAAGTTAAGTCCAGAAATCATATTAAAACCAAATAATAAAGAACAAGTACATGAATCTTCTAAAAAGAACTGAGAAGACTGTTTATTACAGCTCTATTTGTACTTTTTTTTGTATGTGGAAAAACGCCTTTAACTTTCACTGTTACGTAAACTTGTTGCAACATGTCTTTAAGTTTTTGTGTCTGGCTGTTTAAAACTATAAGCACAATTTAACAGCACTGCAAAATCAGCTACTAGTATATTACCTGCAAAGTATGGCTAATCGTCAAAACTGATAGTTGTATTCAAATAAAGATCTTATGAGTATGTACTTTACCATCAGTCATAAGGGAGTGTAACATCCACAATATAATCAAAATTGTTATAAATTAAACATATAGTCATATTGGCTCACATATTAAAAGTCTCCTTTTTTTTTTTGAAGGCCATTATATGACAGAGTTTATTAGATTGCAACACAAACAGGTAATCTTGAATCAGTTTTCTTTAATTTTTTTATTTTAAAAAAGCAAAACAAGATAGAAATAAAAATTCTTAATGTTTAAACATTCTAAAATTTAAACTGCATAAATTTTATAGATTTGGATCGATTAAAGAACAAAGTGTTATATAGTTAGTGATGACAAAACATTTCTCCCTAAATAATGTATATTTCATTCCTGTATTCTCATATGTGAGCCAGTTAATGTTCATATTTTAAAAGATGAATGTAAAGTGGCAAAAAATAATATAGAGCATCTATATATACTACACCAAACTCTTCTACTTTAAATCTTATGAGTATTTAGAAATTTCCAAAACCAAGTAATTAATTTACTTAACTAAAAATATTCAGATTAATCAGTTTAATCAGTTTTCCCAATATCATTTCTCTGTCCCAAGATCCCATATTATATTTAATTTTTATATGTCTTTAATCTTCTCTACCAGTGACAGTCCTTTCGTGACTTTGATACATTGAAGAGTATGCTGTAGTCAAGGCTTCCTTGAATGTCCTTCAGTTTAGGTTGGTCTGGTACTTTCTAA